TGCAAGTTAAAAAATAGACATGTAAAGTGGTAAATTTATGTTACATTTTTACCGTAGTCTTTAAAACTAAAATAAATATGTATGAATCAACGGCTTCCTTTTATATTAGCAGCAGGTACTACCCAAATATAATGGGATAACGATATCATTCGCAAAAGCAAGGAACACTATCACACGTAAGTAATAAATTTAGTGAGAAGTGGACAAAACCTGTTTGGAAAAGATAAAATGACATACTTCACATTAAACACTAAAATTAATTGCAGATAGGCAATTAAATGTAAAAATTGAGACGTGGAAAGTGTTAGAGTATATCAGTGAATATCTGTTTAAGCTTTTGAAAGTATCACTCCAAAGGCAGAAACTGTAAAGAATGAAAGTGCTATGTCCGACTGCATGCAAGTATTAAACTTCTGCAAGTCAGAAAATGGATAGGCAAGTTACAACCATGGGAAAAAAATCTGCAACATATTGACAACAAAAAAGGTAAAATTCTCTTACTATATAGAAGCCCTTTCAAATCGGTAAAAGATGAGTTCCCTCCCTACCGCCAGCCACGGAGGGAGTGCGACACCATGGGTTTGCGGTTAGGAGAGTGTGCTCTGGAGTCAAACTGCCTGGTTCCAAGTGGTGCTCTAGCACTCATTTTGTGACTTCAGACAGGATACCTAATCTCTTTGTGTCTCAGCTGCTTGATCTGTAAAATGGGGCTATCGTGACAATAGTACCTACCAACAGGGGCACCTGCCTCTGGGCTGCTGTGGGAATTAAATGAGCTGCCCTGTGTGTAAGTGTTTAGAACAGTGCCCAATACAGCATAAGTGCTCCGGAAACATCAGCTATTACAATCGTAGAAAAAGGATCCATTCTACTATAAAGACACATTCATGCGTATGTTTATTGCAGCACTATTTATAATAGTGAAGACTTGGGACCAACCCAAATGCCCATCAATGATAGACTAGATAAAGAAATTGTGGCACATATGCACCATGAACTACTATGCAGCCATAAAAAAGAATGAGTTCATGTCCTTTGCAGGGACATGGACAAAGCTGGAAACCATCATTCTCACAAACTAACACAGGAACAGAACACCAAATATTGCATGTTCTCACTCATAAGCAGGAGTTGAACGATAAGAACACATGGACGCAAGGAGGGGAACATCACATACCAGGGCCTGTCAGGGGGTCAGGGGCAAGGGGAGAGAGAGCATTAGGACAAATACCTAATGCATGCAGGGCTTAAAACCTAGATGACTGGTTGATAGGTGCAGCAAACCACCATGGCACATGTATACCTGGGTAACAAACCTGCACATTCTGCACATGTGTCCCAGAACTTAAATTAAAAAAAAAAATGATAAAAAGGATCACAGGAAGCTCATACAAGAAGGAGTATAATTGCCCTACACACTTATGAAAGAATATTTTACTTAGTCTTTTCCACAGTGGTCCAATCGAGAGTAAGCATCTGGTAAGTGTTACAAGTCAGTTCAAAGCCACTATCTGGTTAGGGCCCCTATCTCTCATTTCCTTCCCGCCTCATCTCACTGGACTCTTGAGGTCAAGGGTCAAGTGCGAAAAGATAGCCCGCTGTCACCCCCATCCCACCCTCTCTGCCCACTTGGGCTCTTCCATCCTCCCCTCTGCCCAGACTCCATGCCCCTCCCTCTTTCCCTCCGTGGTACCTCACCCTCCCCTACCATCTCAGCCAGCTTGTGGATGGCGGGGCACAGTGTATTGATGGTGCTCTGGTACCATGGGTCTACGCGGCCCAGGAACGCAGCCAGCTCTCCCAGCTCTGGCTGCCTGGATGCTGCAGGCTTCTGGGAGAAAGGAGATGGGGCAGACACGTCAGGCCCTCTCTTCCAGCTCTGCCTTCCAGCTGCCATCAGCCTAGGCTGTGTGAATATGGCCAAGTCATTTAATCTCTTGGGGCCTCAATTTCTGCATGTGAAGACGCATTGTTGTTCTGTCTTATAAACTCAGATGAAGCTAGAATATCTTTTGCTGAGGTCCATTCACCAGAGACATTGAAAAATGATCACCAGCCTTAAACGGGGAGAGACAATGTGCAGTAGGAAGTAAGACCTATGTCCCCACAACTGGATTTATGGACTTCACTGCCTGAAATTTCTTTGTGTCGGACCAGAAGGTGTGGTGTGTGTGTGTATGTGTGTATATGAGAGAGGGGAGAGAAGGGGAGAGGGAGGGAGGGAGGGAGGGAGAGAGAGAGAGAGAGAGAGAGAGAGAGAGAGAGTCAGTCCTGTGTTTGAAAAGTTTGCAACTAATGCTGTTACATACAAAAACAAAACAAAAAGCCTGCCAACAAGAGAGAGACCCAATCTCTGGGCACATTCAGCCCCCAGAACACCATCTGCAGCCTCCAAAATAGAATCCTGGTGACATCTCTCCCACCTCTACCTTCTTTTTTCTTTTTTTTACATGGAGTTCTGCTCTTGTCGCTCAGGCTGGAATGCAGTGGTGTGATGTCGACTCACTGCAACCTCCACCTTCTGGGTTCAAGCGATTCTCCTACCTCAACCTCCCAAGTAGCTGGGATTACAGGTGCCCACCATCACACCCAGCTAATTTTGTGTATTTTTAATAGAGATGGGGTTTCACCATTGTTGCCCGGCTGGCCTCTCCCACCTCCACATTCTAAGGATGCTGATTCTAGTCCCTGAGCTGGGGATGTGGGGGATGGGAGGCTGCAGGTGTGTCCCTGCCCAGCCTGCCCTGTCTCTGCCCCGCCACTGCTTCCCCACGGTCTAGTCACCTCAGGCGCCAGCACTGGGATGTAGTAGAGCTGCAGGCTGAGTCTGGGAGTGAGGCAGAACTTCTGGGTCTCCCGTTTCCTAGCAACGAGCAGCAAAGCAGAGGAGGTTAGGGGCGGGGCTTGGCTTCTAACAAACTTGGCTCTGCTATGTGTTATCTCTTGGCCTTGGACAATCTGTGTCATCTTTCTGAGCCTCTGCTTTCTCATCTATAAAATGGGTACAGTAATGTCTCCCTCGAAGGCTGGTAAGGGTTCACGGAACTAACGAACATAAAGCAGTGATTGGGTGCTCTGTGATGGCTACGCAGCACTGCACAGCATCCTTTTCTGTCCCACCCTGGCCTCTGCCTCCTGACCTCTTTTGCCACCCTATGATTCTTCACCAGCTTATGCAAAGCCCACCTGTGCCCTGACCAGCGCCCACTCCCCAACCCCCACCTTGGGGCCCCACCTGAGTCTGTGGTAGGCCTGGGCCAGGCGCCCCAGCATTCTGTCATCTCCCAGCACAAGTACCCGGGCTGTGTGCAGCCGAGAGACGCCAGGAAGCACTTCCCCATCCCCACCGGGCCTGCCTGTTCTCCGGTGCAGCCCTGGGGGCCCGTCCCAGCTGCCAGGCATCAAGAAGTCCAGGGGCCACACACGCTTCTTAATGCCTCCTTTGCGCTGCAGCCCAGCTCGCTCTATCTCGGGGCTGCTGGATGCAGGTAGCTCATCAGCCCCCAGGGGAAGGTCCCGCTCGATGCCACTGTCAGTGGACAGCACAGACACCCGGGCCAACTCCCGGTCTGGCCGGATGCCCTGCAGATCCAAGACCTCCAAGTCAGTACTGAGGCGCAGCTGGGATCTTGGGCGGAGGAAGAGCACCAGTTCCTTCCCTGGGATGGGGGAACAAGGGTGGTGAGGACATGTGAGGCTGGCAGGCTACATTCCTGATTTCAGCCAGTTCTCCTCAGAGGATACACATGCACAGAAACACAGACACACACACAGACACATGAGGACACACATCCACACTTACACACAGACACACAGATGCATACACACATCTATAGACACAGACACACATGCACACACACACAGACACATGCACACAGACACATGCACACACATGCACACAAAGATATACTTACAGATGCATACACACATCTACAGACACAGACATACACACATGCACACATGCACAGACACACATGAACACAGACACAATACACATCACACACACAGACAGAAGCATACACTCATCTACAGACAGACACACATGCACACACACACAGAGACACATGCATGCATACATACACATGGACACAGACATATACCACTGTTTCCAGCCAGCTGCATGGGCACTTACAGAGCTGCTCCTTGCCGGTCCACAGGTGGAAGGTAATGGAGGGGCTGGGCAGGGGAATGCTTGGTGGCCGCTCTTGGACAGGGTCACCTGCAGAAAGGAGCAGGCTATGGAGGCCATGGAGGAGAGGGGTGTGGGAGCCTCCTCTGCCCCCCCACTCTGCCCAACTCTTGTTCAGGGTCTTAGAAGGGTGACAGGGACTCTCTCCTTCACATCTGGTCTGCCTTTCCATTTCTGCCACCACCTGCCTGTCCAGGGCCCAACAGTGCAGCTGTCCCCTCCCTGTCCAACAATGCTTAGCAGCTATGTTTCCTACAAACCTAGCTCAGCCCTAAGTGGTCTTCAGAAACCAGCTCACAAGGCCTTTTCCAACATATTATCCTATGCTGGCCACGCCTTCAGCCCTGTGCAACCAGCAGACTGGCTTTCACAATATTGTTTTCTTTTTTTCTTCTTTGTTGAGATGGAGTCTTGCTCTGTCTCCCAGGCTGGAGTGCAACGGTGCAATCTCGGCTCACTGCAACCTCCGCCTCCCGGGTTCAAGCAATTCTCCTGAACCTGGGAGGCAGAGGGTTCAGCCTCCGGGATAGCTGGGATTACAGGCACCTGCTACCAAACGCAGCTATTTTTTGTATTTTTTAGTAGAGACCGGGTTTCACCATGTTGGCCAGGCTGGTCTCAAACTCCTCACCTCAGGTGATCCACTCGCCTCAGCCTCCCAAAGTGCTGGGATTACAGGTGTGAGCCACCACAACCAGCCTCCCGCGGTTGTTAAAACGCCCTGCCTGCATCCAGATGAGGCAGAAAAGACCTCAGCCCTTCTCAGGGCTGCTTCCAATATCTTGTATGCAGTAGACACTTAATTAACATTTGCTGCTGTTGGTGATGCTAAAGAGACCTCATCAGCAAAGTCTAGGGGCAGCAAGAACCCTGGGTAGTCCAGGGGAGAGACCGAGGCCAGCCTGTCTTCCTGCTCCTGTTTCTAGAATCTTTTCTGACCACTCCAGAGGCCCACGGTGGTCAGAAGCAGTCTGCCCTCTGAGCAGACTTTGTCTGCACACTGGACCTCACATGTGGTTTTAGGATTTGGCTCGGTATTCCAATTTCACTTCTATGTTGCTGTGGCCCCTCCTTCATAAGGCTGCAGGCTTCTTAGGGGAGAGCACCTGGTGTTCACTGAGCACCTACTACTGCCTACCAGGCCTTGTTCTACTCACCTGGCACACACTGTAATCATTTCTCTGGATTCTGCCAATGGCCCTGGGTGACAGGTGACATTTTTCTCCTCACTTTACAGGGGAGGAGCCAGGACATAAAGAGGTTGAAAACTGACCCAAGGTCACATACTAAACAGCAGAGTGAAGACTTGAGCCCAGGCAGCTCAGCTCCAGAGTCTCTGCTCTTACCCACAACACTGTGCTTATAACCACTGCTCCATACTGCCCCCTACAGCCATGGGCTTGACAGGGGTGCTGCCTGGTCATTAAGATGCACAGGGCTTAGCCAGGTGTGGTGGCATGTGCCTGTGGTCCCAGCTACTCAGAAGGCTGAGGTGGGAGGATTGCTTGAGCCCAGGAGGTCAAGGCTGCAGTGAACCATTATGGAGCCACTGCACTCCAGCCTGGATGACAGAGTGAGACCCCATCTCGAAACAAAACAAAGCAAATGCACAGGGCAGGCCTGGGCAGGAGACAGGTGTCCCTGGATGTGGCTTGGGGTCAGCCCAGATGGTCTTGCCTGATCCAGGCAATCACTGGTGAATGTCAGCAAGGGGCCATAGAGGAGCAAAGGCAGATTGGCCCCCGAGTTTGTCCCAGCTTCTAGAGAAGAGGGGAGCAGTCTTTTCCATGTGGGATTGGAGGCAGTACAGAATGTTAAAGCAAGAGAGCGGAAAACTGCGAAGATGGAGTCTTTAGGCAGTTTTTATCCTGCCCACCTCACCCAGCTTCTGTGGCCTCCACCTAACCTGGGTTGCCAAGTTCAAACCCAGGGCCTGGCCCACTAACCTCTTCCAGTGGATCCCAGTCCTTAACCCCATGCCTTACGCAGTGGTGTGATCATGGCTCACTGCAGCCTTGATCTCCTGGGCACAACTACAGGTGCACAATCAGTGACCGTGCATATCTGGGACATGCAGGCTGACACATTCCGTGATATTTTGGGTGACCATGAAACAGGACCCAAATCAGAACCACCCTACAACAGCCAGGAAACACATATTTGGGATGTTTCTCTAGTCTATTTCAGATGCCCCCATCTACATGGGGCTTATGTCAGGGTAGGCATTGTCTTACCTACATAACGCCTTGCATAAGATAAGGCGATATCTTATAAATGTGCAAATAGGAAGTGTGAGGAATAAAAATCTATGGTACCAGATATAAACAATGTTGACTCCTCTGCTCTTTTAGATGCTCTGGTCTTTGTACGATCAACTCTTTTGATTACTACAGCAGAGTGGTGAACTAGACAGCCTGGCTTTGCCTCTTACTGCCTTGGGTGATCTTGGGTAAAATATTTAACCGCTAACTCAGTTTCATCTGCTGTAAAGTGTGGATAATAATCATTTCTATCTCATAAGTTGCCTTTGAGGTTTCATTGATTTAATACAGTATAGGCAATATATTTAAATATATGTAAACTGATTAGAGCAGCAGCTGGGGTATATATAGTAGGGGCTCTGGGGGTGTCAGCTGTTATCATGACTAAATTACCCGTCTTCTTTTTTTTTTTTTTTTTTTGAGACAGTGTCTCACTCTGTTGCCCGGGCTAGAGTGCAGAGGTGCTATCTTGGCTCACTGCAACCTCTGCCTCCTGGGTTCAAGTGATGCTCCTGCCTCAGCCTCCCAAGTAGCTGGGATTACAGGCGCCCACTACCACTCCCAGCTGATTTTTTTTTTTTTTTTTTCATTTTTAGTAGAGACAGGGTTTCACCATGTTGGTTAGGCTGGTCTTGAACTCCTGACCTCAGGTGATCCGCCTGCCTGGGCCTCCCAAAGTGTTGGGATTACTAGTGTGAGCCACCACACCTGGCCTAATTACCGGCCTTCTTACTCCTGGTCCTGCCAAATCCCTGGGCTGACCGTCAAGTCCTCAGGCTCTTAGGAGTTAGCCAGGCACGCGGACAGAGGCAGGTCCAGCGCTGCTCTCTGGCGCCCCCTTCAGTGCAGTGATCTACCCCTGCGGGGGCCCTTGGCAGGGTCCCCCATCGTCCCATCGCTTACCGCAGCAGTGCCCTGCTGCTGGCCCCAGCAGTGAGCAGTAAATCTCCTCCAGCCTCTCCACGTGTCCCGCCCGGCTCGGGCTGGCCTCGCTGGCCATCTGCTCCACGGCAGCCACCACGGCATGGAAATAGTGCTCCAGGGTGCGGGGGGAGCTGGCCTGTCGGGGAGGGGCGTCAGAGCCTGGGCCTTGGCCCGGCGCCTACGCACCCCACCTCCTAAGCCAAGTCCGAAGGGCTCTGGTAGCCCAAGGTGACACCTCCCCGCTTTCCCTGGGGGACCGGCAGGAGCTTCCCCCAAAGGCTTCTGGATCTCACATCCAGGGCCCCACACCTGCCCTGCACGTGGGGGGTCTCCTCTGTCTCTCATACCCTATTATGGGGAGACTGCAGGTCTGTAACATCTGTTACCCAGAGGGGCAGAGGTGGCCGCTGACGCCCACCACCTGAAAGTGTCCCTGAGCACTTGGATCACCACTAGACTGAACTTAAGGAAGGCAAAGAGTTTTGTCTGTTTTGTTCACAGCTGCATCTCCAGCACTTAGTACAGCTCACTGCACCAGGCTTGTTCTAGGAGCTGGGATACAGCAGCAAACAAAATGGACAAAAATCTGGGGGCCAAGCACGGTGGCTCACGCCTGTAATCCCAGCACTTTGGGAGGCCAAGGAGGGTAGATCACCTGAGGTCAGGAGTTCAAGACCAGCCTGACCAACATGGTGAAACCCTGTCTCTGCTAAAAATACAAAAATTAGCCGGGTGTGGTGGGGTGTGCCTGTAATCCCAGCTACTCAGGAGGCTGAGGCAGGAGAATCGCTTGAACCCAGGAGGTGGAGGATGCAGTGAGCTGAGATCACTCCATTGCTCTCCAGCCTGGGCGAGAGAGTGAGACTCCATCTCAGGGAAAAAAAAAAATGGGAGCTCCTATTATAGTATGTATATGGCAGAAAGAGCAGGCAATCAACAAGATAAGTAAAATTTTGGTACAATAAATAACAATAAGCACCAAAGACAAAATAAAGCAGAGAAGGAGGATGTGGAATTTGAGGGAGGGGCTAAATTATCTAGATTTTGTCATCTGGGAAGCCTCCCTAAGAAAGTGACTTTTAAGGAAAGACTTAAAGGAAGCAAAAGAGTGAGCCATGCAGGTATCCCAGAGAACATTCCAAGCACAGGGAGCAGCACGCACAAAGGTCCTGGGTGCAAGTGTGTCAGGCCTGTGCATGTTGGGAGAAAAATGAGGAGGCTTGTGTGGCTGGAGCAGAAGAAATGAAAGGGAAAGTTAGGAGACGGGCCAGAGAGAAAATCAAGAGAGGTGGGGACAGGTCAAGGCCCTCAAGATGAGGTTCTTGGAGACAGTTTATTTTGGTTTTTAGAGATAGGGTGTCTCTCTGTTGCCCAGGCTAGAGTGCAGTGATATAATCAAAGCTCACTGCAGCCTTGAACTTGGCTCAAGTGATCCTCTTGCCTTCTGAGTAGCTGGGACTACAAACACATGTCACTACACCTGGCTTTTTAAAAATTATTATCATGTGTAGAAATGGAGTTTTGCTATGTTGCCCAGGCTGGTCTCAAACTCCTGGCCTCAAGCAATCCTCCTACCTTGCCCTCTCAAGTACCTGGGATTATAGGCATGAGCTACTGCACCAGGCTCTTATAGGTCATTGCAGTGACTTTGGCTTTGACTCCGAGTGAGATGATGTAGTAGCCACTATTGTGGTGACACAGATTCCTGCTTTCGAGACTGAGACACTCATTCACCCTGCTGCTAGGAATACTGAACATTGCCTTATGTCTTCTTCTTATTATTATTATTTTGAAACGTAGTCTTGCTCTATCGCTCAGGCTGGAGGGCAGTGCACAATCTTGGCTCACTGCAACCTCTACCTTCAGGGTTCAAAAGATTCTCCTGCATCAGCCTCCTGAGTAGCTGGGATTACAGGCGTGTGTCACTACACCCAGCTAATTTTTCTATTTTTAGTAGAGACAGGGTTTCACCATGTTAGTCAGGCTAGTCTCGAACTCCTGACTTCAGGTGATACACCCAACTCGGCCTCCCAAAATGCTGGGATTACAGCTGTGAGCCACCGTGCCCAGCCAAAATGTATTAATTTTTGATTTGGGGAAAAAGGTGATGTGGAACAGGAGAAGGAGGAAGAGCGGGTGAGTGACTGGTATGGGTATGCAGGGACCAGGGCTAGACCCTGGCTACAGGCAGGACCATTACCTGCAGCTTCCTGTGCAAAGCGCCTGCATGGCAGGCCTCCCCCAGAGCCGCCTGCAGGGCATGGGAGACCACGTGGCGCATGCAGGCCTCTGGTGTCTGCTGCACCTGGGCTGCCTCGATCTCCAGTAGCAGAGCACTGCACACAGAGGCAGACACCAGCTCAGGATCCACGAAGAGGAACACTCTGAGGGCAGAGGCAGAGGGGAGGGGTGGGATTGACAGTAACTAAAGGGAGAGAGGTCACCAGATGGGCATGCTCAGAGCTGTGCAGCACCTCCAAGTAATTTAATTCTGCTAAAAAGAGGAGTCTTCAATTCAGAAGTCTCTATTGGGGATGACAGTAGGGAGTGGTGAGGACTGTGGCAAATAAGAGCGTGCACAGCCCTTCTTGAGGGGCAGCTCTAATCCACTATCCACAGAGGAAAGCAGGCCTAGTCCCATGTCTAGGAAAGTTCTAGCCTCAATTCTGCTCTCTCTCTCAGCATCCTGGCCCAGTGACCAGGTCACCTTCTAGGAGGGACCCTAAATCCTTCCTGCCAGAACTGGAGCTCTGAACCCTGAGGGAATCACACCCTCTCTCATCACCCTTATCATACCAGAGAACCGACCTCCCCTACTCCCTCCTCCTCTCCCACCATGTCTCCTCACCTCTCCCATGCTAAGTCCTCTGGGTGCCCTGGGCCTCCATGCATCCTTCATGAACACAGCACCTTACACCCCAAGCTCAAGCTGTGCCTTTCAGAGCCAAGTTAGTGGAGGTGCCTGCAGAAAAGCTAGGTGCCACTCCCAATTTCATCACCCCTCTCCCCAACAGGAGCAGGGGATACTTCCTCAGTCTTATCTAAGGGGCTGGGCATCCCCCATGGAAGCCCTCAGGCTTCATTGTGCAGTTGCACCTGAGCCCCTCCGCTCTGGCTATTCTGGAGTCTCCTCCAGCTGCCTGGCTGGAAGGATGCTGGATCATGGCCAAGGGCAGGATGGAGGTGGATCAGAACTCCAGAGTGGCCACAAGGCCATGTCCACGCTCTGCATGTAAGCAGGGTAGCTTCGAATCCAACCTGGGAAGAAAGACCTATCCTGCTGTCAGTGGTGTCCAGAAAACAATATGGCACGCCAACCTTGAATTGCAAATGCACTCCACTGCTGGACAAATTTCATGGCTGGGGAGGTCTGCTAGGGCTCTGCTTAATCCAGCCTCCTCTTCTGGCCTCCTGCCAGGGAGGAGTCACTAAAGCCATGGAACTTTTAGGAGGCTGAAGGTAGCAGTTTTTCTGGGGCCACTCACCTCTCTTGGTAGGGATATGGTTCATTCATCAAGTTCTGTTCGGCAATGACCATCCTTTGGTACAGTGTCCCTGCAAACCAGACCACTTTGGTCAACCAGCCCCCAAGTCTCTGATTCCCATTCTCCACCTTCTTACAGAAGGTGTGGAGGCTTTTGAGCTCCGTGGTATCCTGGAGAAAAAGGTAAGACCTTGGGCAGTGTTGGAGGTGAAGCGTGGGAGACAAAGATGCCCAGTGGCTCTTACCTGGGATGGCCGTCTCCGTTTTCAGCCTTGTTGCGCAGTCCAAGGCGACTGTGCAGTAGGGGGTGGGCAGGGTCAGCAATCTTGTGCAAAAGGCATAGGTTCTCCGGTAGAGCTCCTCTGTGATTCCTGTGGCCTGAGTGAGAGTGGGGAGGGAGGGAGAGGTGAAAGGTCCTGTGGGAGTTTCTGGGTAGGGGCTTGGGAGAAGGGGTATAAGGTCAGACCTGACAGCCAGACCTGGGCTCACAGCTCTCTCCCAAACCCGCACCTTCCAGCCTCTTCCTCAGTACCTGTAAGACATCCCTTTGTCTCCCCGCTCCAATTTACTAAGATAAAAATTCTTTGCAACAAGTTCTGCAAGCAAATAAACTCCATCCACCCACCCCCGCCACCCTTCTGCTCCATCAGAGAAGCACATTACTGCGGTCCTCCAGGCTCGAAACCTTGGAGGCACTTCTTCAGCCTCCTTTGCTCATCCTTACATCCCACAGGCCTGAGATGCTCCACAGTACCCCAGAGCCCTCCCTCCCCACCTCAGTGTGCCCTCTGCCTCTGCTGGAGCCAAGCCACATCTTGACCGTGGACTCTCCAGCAGCCCCCAGACTTGCCCTTCCTGCCTTCCTTCACCACCACCCCCACCCCTGCAACAATACCCAGCTCCCAATGACTCTTCCCGAGACAGTAACCATGTCTGTATCATGTCTCCTTGTCTCCTGTTGCATTGCACACATGAGCAAACCCAAAGACCTCATCCTGCCATTCAAGGCCATTGTCTCTCCAAAGTTATCTCTCCATATAGGAGGGAAAGGGGGTGGCTAGTGCTTAGAAGCTAGTTTAGGGCAGGCAGTCCAAGGGATTTTCTAGGCTCATCCTGGCAGACTGCCCTCTAAGGAGAAAGGACAGTGTCCGGCTCAGCCACATGCAGGTCACCACTACCACCTTGACCCCAGCCCCCAGCTCACCTTGGTAAGCACGTACATTACAGTGTGCAGCAAGGGAATGATGACATGCCGGAGGTCCTCGCTTTCCGCCTGGAAAACAGGAGATCACATGACAGGTATTGGGCTGGGGAACTCCCCACTCCTAGCAGGAGGTAGTCTAGAGTGGGGGTGGGCAGGAGATGGGGTGGAAGGTAGCCAGGAGGAGGGCAAAGGGCCATCGTCTGCTCTGGAGAGCAGGGAGGGGAAGGCACACAGGTGCGGGAGCCCCTCAGGGAGGGTATGGGAGCATGAGGGGCCTCAGAGAGCTCTGCAGGGGAGGGGCCAAATTCCATCAGGCAAGGAGCTGCAGCAAAGCAACAAAGCAACAAACAAGCCCCAGCTTGGAGCACAATGTTCTGCAAGCAGAACATTGGGTAGTGTAGAGGATAGTTTATGTGGTCCAAGGATAATTTTGAGAAATGTCAGTAGTCATATATTTATGTTTATAGGTACCTTCTGTTTCTGACAAGTGATACAGGTTTTCCATTTGCGGTTGTGTTATGGAGCTTCTTTTTGAAAGAAGTTTATTCAAGTAAAACAGTGGGAATTGATGTAAAAAAAAGTTGCTTATGTAAAAGTACAGGAGGGAGATGCATATGGTAAAAATCATGCAGGCGACCAAAGCTTGGGAGACACAGAGCCGCCAGGACTGAGTCCCTGCCCAACTGGCCCCTCTCTTCCTTTCCTCCCAGAGGTCCAGGAACTCACCTTCTCCAGCTCTCTGAGCAGAATGCGGACCAGCGCCGGGCTCTTACTAGGATCTCGCTCGACCTTCCTGTGCAGGGACCACCTCCACATGCCTGGGCCAGGAGAAAGGGGAGCCCAGCATAGCCAGGTGGGCAGGGGGCTCTTAGAGGAGACCCCTCTGAGTAGGACCCTGAGCCCTGGAGCCCCAGCTGCAGCTCTGACCAGCCACAGGTCTGACTCCACCACCAGTGCTTGATCTAGGTGCGCCTGCGCGGGCTCCTTCCATGGGGGGCAGTTCTGATCTGCAGCCCTTGTTGGACAGTGAGCTCCCAGGGAAGAAATGAGGGCAGGTGGGACACAAGTGGGGACAGGTGTGTGTCATGTGGCACAGAGCAGCAGTGCTTGCAGGCGTGTCCCCAGCCACATTCTGGAAGTCCTGCAGGCCTGGAGTGCCGAGGGGAATTAGGTTTGGAAGTGGACCTAGGGAAGGTGGTTAAGAAAGAGGGTGGCAGGTGGAGCGTGGTGGCTCATGCCTGATAATCCCAGCACTTTGGGAGGCAGAGGCAGGTAGATCACTTGAAGTCAGGAGTTCAAGACCAGCCTGGCAAACATGGTGAAGCACAGTCTCTACTAAAAATACAAAAATTAGCCGGGTGTGGTGGCCTACATCTGTAATCCCAGCTACTCAGGAGGCTGAGGCAGGAGAATAACTTGGACCCGGGAGGCAGAGTTTGTGGTGAGCCAAGTTTGCGCCACTACACTCCAGCCTGGGCAACAGAATGAGACTCCATCCCCAAAACAAACAAACAAAAAGGGGTGAAAGAGGGTGGCAGATCCCCTGTGCTCTGTGGCAGTTGCCGGGAGGGCTGAACTAGGGAGCAAAGAAGTCTTCTCAGTCCTTTAGGCTCTAGGTATTTTCAGCAGGAAAGAGGTTTTGCTAGAAGACCCTCGCGCCATGAGCTCCAGGCCGGGGCCCTTTCCTGGTTGTGCATGTGGAGCTGGCTGGGGTGGGGTGGAGGTCAGGGGGAGCAGCTGCTGCCACTAGCTGGCTCTTACCTTGGTTGCTCTGCAGGGCAGGGACCTGGGTGCTTAGCTCACGGAGCACAGCCTGCACGCTCCTCTGGAGGTCCAGCTCCACATCTGGGCAGTGGTGGGGTGGGAGGAAACTCAATCCACTGAGCCTCACCCTCGTCCCACCTCCATTCCTCCTGAGAATGTCTTTAGCCACTTCTCTGAGCCTCAAGAGGTGCCCAAAGTAATTGACTTAGAGTTTGCAGCCAGGGCTGGAATACAGCCTTTCCTTCCACATTTCTGTGTTCTTTGTAAAACCAGCATTTCCCCAAGTGCAGTGTGTGTACCATTGGTGCTGTGAAGGACAATTTTAGGTAGTATACAGACACCTTAGAATCTGAAGAGTTATGCATTTATTTTAATGCATGTTAGAAAATACGTACATATATATATATATATAAACTATTAGGTTGGTCCAAAAGTCATTGCAGTTTTTGCCATTATTTTTAATAGTTCCTCAATCCATGCATGAAGCTAAAACTTATTTATTTTATTTATTTATTTTCTGAATCCTACAGAACTCTGTCTTTTCTGGTAGTCTCCCACTCAAGTATAAAGCTAAAATCTTAAAGTCCACTTAAGGAAATGTATCAGTTACGTACCAGGACAAGTGGTAACAAAGACTCTCTCCTTGACCAGACCTTCCTCAGGCTCCTCTTAGCCCTCTTCTTGATTAGGCCTCAACCTTGGCTCCTGTCCTGTCTTTGGCCTGCCCATCCCAGTTTTAGCGAGAATCCTGCCAGATGAGTTTAGGTTGGAATCCGTCACTGTTGATATCTGCTGAAGCCCTTCATCCCTCACCTTTGATATAAAAGAATTTGACCCACATCAGTCTGGCATGGTGGCTCACGCCTGTAATCCCAGCACTTTGGGAGACCGAGGTGGGCGGATCACGAAGTCAAGAGATGGAGACCATCCTGGCCAACATGGTGAAACCCTGTCTCTACTAAAAATACAAAAATTAGCTGGACTTGGTGGCATGCACCTGTCGTCCTGGCTACCTGGGAGACTGAGGCAGGAGAATCACTTGAACCCGGGAGGTAGAGGTGGCAGTGAGCCGAGATCGAGGCACAGCACTCTAGCCTAGCAACAGAATGAGACTCCATCTCAAAAACAAAACGAAACAAAAAACAAAGAAAGAATTTGACCCTCCTCTAGCAAGAATCCTATTAGCTCAGTTTAGCAAGAATACCCCGACCCTTGATGTCTCCTCTTAGGAATTTTCCATCCACTGATCCCTTCACTCTGCCCATGGGCTACAACTCCCCAACTGGCTTTTCCTTATTCCAAGTTGAGCCTACTCTCTCTTTCCTACGGCAATAGTCTTGGATAAGTCTTCCTTACCATTTTAATAAGTGTCGGAATAAATCTTTTCTTTACCATGGAAAAAAAAAACAAAAACAAAAACGAAAAGTGGTACAAGAATAAGCACCTGACATTTGGGAATCGTAGCTGTGAGAATGTACCTTGCTGATCTCCCGCTATAATGGACCCAGGTCTGCAGCCACTGTGCTGTTGCAGTGGTTTGGATATTTGATCCTCCAAATCTCATGTTGAAATTTGGTCCCCAGTGTTGGAGGTAGGGCCTAATGGGAAGTGTTTGGGTTATGGAGGTAGATGCCTCATGAATGCCATCCTCGCAGTAGTGAATTCTTGTTCTATTCGTTCCCCTGAGAACTGGTCGTTAAAAAGAGCCTGGTACCTTCCCCCTCCTCTTGCTTCCTCTCTCAGTATGTGATCTGCCCATGCTCGCTCCCCTTCTTCCGCCAGGAGTGGAAGCTTCCTGAGCCCCTTATCAGAAGCAGATGCTGGAACCCTGCTTCTTGTACAGAACAGCAAGCCAAATAAACTTCTTTTCTTTCTAAATTACTCAGCTGCAGGGTTTGTGTTTTTTTTTTTTTTTTTCCTTTTGAGACAGAGTCTCATTTTATCACCCAGGCTGGAGTGTAATGGCATGGTCTCTGCTCACTGCAACCTCTGCCTCTGGGTTCAAATGATTCTCCTGCCTCAGCCTCTAAAGTAGCTGGGACTGCAGGAGCCTGCTGCCACGCCTGGCTAATTTTTTTTGTATTTTTAGTAGAGGTGGGGTTTCACTAAGTTGACCTGGCTGGTCTCAAACTCCTGACCTCGTGATCTGCCTGCCTCAGTCCCCCAAAGTGCTGGGATTACAGGTGTGAGCCACTGCACCTGGCAGGTATTCTTTTATATTATAGTAATGCAAACAGACTAAGAAAGCTGTAAAATCCATCACTTTCTGCTGAGCCACACTTCCCAGCCAATACAGAGTACAGCAGGGGTTCTAAAGCAGGCCCCTCCCCAAGAGACACTCAAGCTTCTCCAATTGCCCTGCTGAGCTCTTCTTGGACTCCCATCAGTCCAAGGCATTTCCACTGACCTTCTTCCTTTTCTCCTTCATTTGGAGTCAAATTTGTACCAGGGTCTGACAGCTGCTCCCCCAGATCCCTCTCCATTTCTATCACACAAGTGTTTCCCCAAATAAATCCCTGAACTTGGTTGTCTGTTTCTTGGCAGAGCCGGACTCAGATAGGAAGTACGGAAAACACTCCTCACACAATAAATTCCTCTTTGCAATTAGCTCCCACTAAGAATTTGCCATTATAGGTGAGTGTGGATTCCTTAGTTGTCAGACAACACAAACCATGTGCTGCAAGGGTTCCTCTTTGACTTAACTATCAGAAAACGTACAGTCAGAAAACTTACAGCCCAGCCTCAAAAATTAGCTCCTCCCAAGTGACAGAGATCTCTCTTTTGGGCTCCTTTTCGGTGCTGCTGCTTTCTGTTCTATTTAATCTATTTCTGAATTGCCTCAGATTCCTTTGGAAGTAAGTAGAATGGTGATAACAAATTTAAAAATCAGCAGATTGCAGTCCAAGAGTTAAACACTTTTTTAGGCCAAGCCATCATATGTGTTGGTGCTCATGGTCTGGCCCTTCCTCAGACCCACGCAAAGCCTATGGGGGCCACATCCCTGAAGCCCCCACTTTCTTCCTGGCTCTCACATGTCCCCTGTGGGACACTTGTCCCTGGCAAGGCCTGATCCTGAATCTTCTCCAGGCTGAGAGTGGACAGGGTGTTACAGCTGCATCTAAGCATCCGATCCCTCTGCTGGGCAGAGCAGCATCTCCCCAAACTGTCAAGGAAATCATTTAGCTTGGCAAGAAGGTTGGTCACAGTCTTTCCTCCATCTATGCATTTCCACCTTGCATGAAAATTTAATGAGTTAATGCAGAATGAGTTATTAGAAAATTCGCTGGTGCTAAGTGTTCTTTCTTTTTCCTCCGTCCCTCCCTGTCTCTCTCCCTCCCTTCCTTCCTTTCTTATTTCCTTCCTTCCTTCTCTTTCTTTTCTCTCTTCCGCCATATACTGCACAGAAAGACTGAAAACTGTGGCAAATGTGATTTCCTTCCTTTCCCTCATCAGAAGCGCAGCCAAGCCTTTGTCTTCTGAGCCCCAGGTCCTCTTGCTTTGCAAGGGAAGTTAGGTTTTTATGTTTCACAGAAAAATACAGAGGTTGCCAGTAGCCCCCGGAGGCCACTTCAAATAAATTTTGTTTTTGAATATCTGGATAGCTAGAACAAACTCTCAGGCTTGGGTCCACATCTGGCTTGCTGTGTGTTTTGTTTGGGCTTGTATCATGTATCTTAAAAATAAAAAACAATGAATTAGCTGCCAACATTGACAAGTCAGGAGATTTTGCATAACAGTTTGGGTTTCTGGCATCTCTTGAAAATCTGGCGATCTGTTCTCTTGAACACTGGGCCTGCATTCTTCTCACATGTGACAACCATAGGGGGTGGAATCACACAGCTTCTCTAGGTCTTTGCAGTTCCCCATGTCTCTGTTTCACTCATTTACATCCTCTGCCTGGCCCCTGGAGGCACTTGAATTTGAGGTTCATGGCAAGCTGATTGAGCCAATCAAGATGGATTGTCTAAAAGGTGCAGAGGAAGGCTGATACTTTTAAAGAGGAGAGTGGTCCAGCCCAAGGGTGGAGGCTGGATTCCCTAAGACTGTGAGGGCACAAGGGTTATGTAGGGTTCCAGGGAATGAGGAAAATCAGACCTGCTGGGACAAAGCTTACCAGTGGTGGCAAAGATCAGATGAGGATGGCTAAGCACTGAACCCTGTGCCTCTGATGCCACAGCAAAGGTCTACCTAGCCATCTTCACTAGAGCATGAGAATGTCCCCCAAAGCAGGCTCTGTCTCCCTCTGGACCTTGCAAGCCTGGCCAAGCAGTTCTGGTGGCTGCAGCCACCGTGGACTGGAGACCACAGCCTTTTCCCACTACCCAGACTTTATAAACCCTGAGCTTTTCACAAACTCCCATGGAGGGGGAAGCACTCCAAGAGAATGATGCTAGAATTCATCCTAACCTTGGAAAATGAGAGGTTGAAGCTGGTTTTCATTTGATTAAATGAAAGAAAGAAATGGGATATTTCCTGTGTCTCAAGTGACTTAGCATTGTTCATATATGATATGCAGGTCTAACATCCTTGATGACTCTGAACAGTCAATTAGATAAATGGCATCCTTTATTATGATCCTCCTCTGCATTCAGGAATGTGGGATATTACTAATTAGGTATTATTATTAATATTAATTTTTTATTAAAATAAATTTTAACTTTTAGGTTCAGGAGTTACATACACAGGTTTGTTACCTGGGTATACTAATTGATACTGAGGTTTGTAGTATGGATGATCACATCACCTAGGTATGATGAGGAGTACTATTACCAGTAATAGTCAATTGTCAATTTTTGTTTTTGTTGCAATTGCTTTTGAGGACTTAGTCATAAATTATTTCCCAAGGTCAATGTCTAGAATAGTGTTTCCTAGGATTCATATAGTTTGAGGTCTTACATTTAAATCTTTAATCTTGAGTTAATTTTTGTATATGGGGAAGTGTAGTGGTTCAGTTTCATTCTGCATATGGCTAGCCAGTTATCCCAGCACTATTTATTGAATAGAGAGTCCTTTCCCCATTGCTTATTTTTGCCAACTCTGTTAAAGATCAGATGGCTGTAGGTATGTACCTTTATTTCTGGGTTCTCTATTCTGTTCCATTGTTTATATACCTATTTTTATACTCGTACCATGCTGTTTTGGTTACTGTAGTCTTGTAGTATAGTTTGAAGTTAGGTAATGTGATGCCTCCAGCTTGGTTCTTTTTACTTAGGATTGCTTTGGCTATTTGGGCCCTTTTTTGGTTCCATATGAATTTTAGAGTAGTTTTTTTCTAGTTCTGTGAAAAATGACATTGGTAGTTTGATAGAAACAGCATTGAATCTGTAGATTGCTTTGGGCGGTGTGGACATTTTAACGATATTGATCCTTCCAATTCATGAGCATTAGAATGGTTTTCCATTTGTTCATGTCACGTATAATTTCTTTTTAGCAGTGTTTTGTAGCTCTTGTTTTAAAGATCTTTCACCTCCTTGAATACCTAACATTTAAACAGCACTTGAAAAGTGTACATACAGAGAGTCTTCCACAAATGTGGCAAGGTGATGCTATGTGCTTACCAAACCAAGTTCATTTTTGTCACCTAGAGACAGCAAGACTACATTTCCCAAACTCCCCTGCAGTTAGAGAAAAGCCATGTGACTACATTCTGGCCAATGGAATGTGGTAGAAGTGATGTAAGTCACTTGCAGGCCTGTGTTCCCTGCACTGTCCTCCATACTCCTCTTCCCATTCCACAGTGACCTTGAAGGACACATGTTGAAGGTGATGGTGCCACAAGAGGGAATAAGTCTCAGTGACTGGTTGAAGCCCACAATGGACTGTGGGGAGAGGGAGAATAAGCATGTGTTGTGTTAATCCTTTGACATTTGGGCCCATTTGTTAAAGCAGCTACTATTCTCTAACTGACTCATGGATATGCAAAATGTTTTCCAATGTCTTATCTCACTTGATTCTGATAAGCACCCTGTGAGTTTGGCAGGACAAATACTGTTCTCCCTGTTTGATAGATTACAGGCCTAGAGCCCTTACCTTTGTCACACATTGCCTCTCCAACCATAGCAAGTCACACCTAAAGGGCCCCCAGCACACAGAGGCACCTCTTCCAACCTACACCTGATTTTCCTTACCCCTATCCTGTATAAAGGCTCAGATTGTTTGGAAAACCTTTGCAATATTACCCCTGTTTGCAGGCATGGCAAAATAACAATAGCCTTGGTGCCCCTGGAATATTGCTCTTCTGTATACCCCAAAATATTTTACTTCTCAGGTACCTCTCTTCTTAACTGTAGGATGGGAGAACTCCAAGAGCTGTGGGTAGGTGGGGGGGGGGTGTTAAAAAACAATCATAAGCCCAGCACTTTGGGAGCCAAGGTGGGTGCATCACAAGGTCAGGAGTTCGAGACTAGCCTGGCCAACATAGTGAAACCCCACCTCTACTAAAAATACAAAAAGTTACCTGGGTGTGGTGGTTAGTGCCTGTATTCCCAGCTACTCGGGAGGCTGACGCAGGAGAATCACTTGAACCCAGGAGGTGGAGATTGCAGTGAGCTGAGATTGTGCCATTGCACCCCAGCCTGGGCAACAAGAGTGAAAACTCTGTCTCAAAAAAAAAAAAAAAAATCATAATGTGGGAAGACATCTGGTCATGATGGGATAACTCCCCTTCTGAGTTGCCAGGGCAATCATCCTAATTTGGGGATGTTTCCTTTTACTCATTGGATTTGGGAGTCATCTGCCATACCTTTGGAGGGGGAAGTTAGTGGTTTTACCTGCCCAGTGTCCCTCCCAGCTCATTGCAGTCTTGGTGGGACTGTGACCCAGGTGCCTTACTTAGCTTTAGCCTTGATGTGGGCACAGGACCAAGTTGCCCATGGACTGACATTCTCTGTCTCTGTTTCTCTCAGACAGCCTTGTGCAGAGAATGCCCAGGAGGGAAGGACACCTGGTGTACCCTCCAAGGACATTGTCTATCTTTCTCTGTCCTGGTGGCAAGGCTACTGTCCCCTGCCCTTTCAGGTGTCTGGTGCTTCAGCTTTTCCTTTGATGCTTGGCCACATTTTTAAAAAATTAAAATGGCCACATCAGTTTTTATTGCTTATATACAAATAAACCTTTGTTGGTGCTTATATACAATACACCTCTTTTCCTAAAAGACAGCATGACATGTATTACTGTTATAAAATGAGTGCAAAGTAAGTTGGTTTTGAAATACCTTCATGTGTCAATTAACTACGAGGATATGTCCTGAGAAATATGTCTTGCGGCAATTTCATCATTGTATGACCATCATAGAGCACACTTACAGAAACCTAGATAGCATAGCCTACTACACACCTAGGCTACAAACCAGCACAGCATGTTACTGAACTAAGTACTGTAGGCAATTGTTACACAGTGGTACTTGTGTGTCTAAATGTAGCTAAACATAGAAAAGCTACAGTAAAAATATGGTACTCTCCTATGGGACTGCTGCTGTTTGTAAGGTTTGTCCTTGACCAAAACACTGGCATTATGCAGTGCCTGACTGTATTTCGATTTTCACGATGCTTCCCCATCCCAAGCCTCTTACCCCAAACCCCAGCTGGTTAAAGATGACCCAGAATATTGTAACACCAGGATTCACTGGGGTTGCCTGACTCCGTGGAGCTGCTTCTGATTGGATGAGGCTCTCTGAGGATGGATGGATGGATGGATGTCAAAATAATTTATGTCACAGGAATATTAACAACTGAGATGTTGACCCTGCCTAGGGGTTGCCCTTCCCCTCCCCAGGGCAGGGATCTTTAGGGGAATTGGTGTCTCTGCTTGGTGGCCTAAGGTGTGATCTTTGGCTTTACCAGTGACCATTAGATGATGCACATCTTGGTGGGGGCTGGTCATCTTTCCGTGTTGTCCCAAGTTGACATATGGTGAAGAGTCCAGGCGTTGGAATCAGACAGATGAGGCTCCAGTTCTGGCCTTGCCACTTACTAGCTGTGTGGCGTTGAGCAAATTATATAACCTCTCTGAGCCTCAGTTTCCCTTTCAGAAAAATGAGGATAATCATAGTGCTAGCCCTACCTCACAGAATCCTTCTGGCATTTGTGTGAGGCAATCTGTCATGAAATCATTAAGCCCAGACATGGGAGCTAGATTGCTAGGTTTCACTCCTGATTTGACCACTCAGTAGCTATGTGACTGGGGGAAAAGTACCTGCCCTTGGCATGCCTCAGAAGGGAAACCCCTTCTGTAATATGAGAGTAATAACGCCTATCTTAGGAGATTAACAAAGACTAAATGACTTAATATTTGTCAAGAGCTTTTATCCCTCCTCAATCCATTGTAAGTGCTATATAGGCTTTTGTTAAATAGTCACAAGTATTTGACAATAAATCCTGGCTATTCTTATCATCATTCCCATTGTCAAGCTCAGTGTCCAGCAAGCAGCTGGGGCCTCATACAAGTGTGTAGATGTCCAACTCTCAAGATGATCTCACATATAGACAGGATCCCTGAATTGGGATCTTGCAGCCTGTCTACGTGTAGGGTGTCCTGCCAGCCCTGGAGGGAGAAGAGCCTTCCCCACTTGGTAGCATGCTCACTAGACCCCTTTCCCCCAACATACTGACCTGAGCTTTCCATGGAAGCCTGTCTGATGTGGGGAGAGGATGTGGTTGTCTCAGGCAGCAGAATGGAAAACAAATTGGTTGTTTTTCTGCACAGAGGCGGTTCTGCAAAATAAGAGGCAGTTAATTAGTAAAAGCAGTGGGAAGGTGCAGAAAGCAGTGGAGAAGCTCCTAGGGGACATAGGCTTCTAGCACACTGGGAGAAGTCTACCTGTATTTAAGAAAACTTATAGCCAGGTACAATGGCTCATGCCTGTAATCCCAGCACTTTGGGAGGCCGAGGAGGGTGGATCATTGAAGTTGGGTTCGAGACCAGCCTGGCCAATATGGTGAAACCCCGTCTCAACTGAAAATACAAAAAATTAGCTGGGTACGGTGGCGGGTGCTTGTAATCCCAGCTACTTGGGAGGCTGAGGCAGGAGAATCGCCTGAACCTGAGAGGCAGAGTTTGCAGTGAGCTGAGATCACACCATTGCACTCCAGCCTGGGCAACGGAACAAGACTCCATCAAAAAAAGAAGAAAGAAAGAAAAGAGAAAGAAAGAAAGAAAGGAAAGAATGAAGGAAGGAAGCAAGGAAGGAAGGAAGGAAAGAAACTTATATAATGCTTACTATGTGCCAGGCATCACTCTTCTGAGTGCTTAGGAAATACGAAGTTTTTAATATTAATATTAAGCTTATGAGGCAGGTTCTATCTCTCACCCCTCCCCACTTCTACAGATGGGGATACTGAAACACAGAGAGGTTAAATAACTATTCAAAGTCAAATAGCTGGTGAGTAAGGAATGAGGACTTGAACTCAGACCATCTGGCTCTACAGCCCTGCCCTTAAGCATGACCTCTGGCTGCCCCACTGTGACCCCAGTGGAAGGTCCTCCCAGAGTCTGCTCCCCAGAGCAATAAACCCAATGACTAGAAAGCAGAGAAACTCCAAACAAATTCAAGAGCTTGTTTTTTGGAGAGAAAGCAAACAAACATATAATTGGGAAAGCTAATCTAAAAAGAGATGACAAAGAGACAATATTAGAAATGATAAATGTCATATATATTTATTTATAGAAGAAAAGAAAACCTGAGTCCCTTATGTCACACTTGGTTTTCTAGGAAAATAAAAATGACTCAAAAGGCTCTAGAAGAGTTAGAAAAACTGCTTATATTAGTAACCAGTGAGGAAATAAAGACAGTTGTCAAAGAACTAGCTGTGGGAAAGTGATGTCTGGCTCAGATGGTTCTTCTGATAAGTTTTTTCAGACCTACAAAGAAAATGTCTGTGTTATTTAATCTGCTCCAAAACATGGAGAAAGAAGGAAAGATTCTCAGTTTATTGGACAAAGCCAGCTTAACCTTAATACCAAAATCTAATAAAGGTAGTTAAAAAAAATAGATCACTTACTTCACACCCACTGGAATGAACATTTTATATATATCGGGGGAAAATAAAGCCAGAAAACAACAAGCACAGGCAGGGATGTGGAGAAATTGGATTTGTTTGGAGTTCTCCTGCTTTCTAGTCATTCGGTTTCTTGCTTTGGGGTGTAGACTCTGGAAGGATGTGGTGCATTGCTGGGTGGGAATTCAAAATGGTGTCGCTGCTGTGGAAAATGGTATGGCATGTTCCTCAAAAAGTCAACCAAAGAATTATCACATGATCTAGCAATTTCACTTCTAGGTAACTACCCAAAAGAGTTGAAAACAGGAACTCAGACAGACACTTGCACACCAGTATTAATAGAAGCACTATTCAAAACAGCAAAATATTAGAAGCAACTCAAATGTCCATCAACAGAGAAGCAATGAATGGATAAAAAATATGTTGTATACCTATAGTGGAAAGTTATTCAGCCTTAAAAAGGAATACATTTAGATATATGCTACATCCTGGATGAACCTTGAAAACATTATGTTGCATGAAATAAGTCAGCCATAAAAGGACAAATATTGTGTGATTCCACTTTTGTGAGATACCTAGAATGGGCAAATTCACAGAGACAGAGACAGCAAGTATGACAGAGGTTACCAGGGACTGGGGAAGGGATGAATGGAGAATTATTGTTTAATGGTTACAGAGTCTCTGTTTGGAATGATAGGAAAGTTCTGGAAATGGATAGCGGTAATGGTTACACAGCATTGTGAATGTACTTATGCCACTGAATTATATACTTAAAAATGGTTAAGATGTTATATTATCTATATTTTACCAAAATAGCAAAATAGACCATGCTCACCTATAAATATTGATATAACATTGAAAAATAGATATCAACTGGCTGGGCGTGGTGACTTATACCTGTAATCCCAGCACTTTGGGAGGCTGAGGCAGGTGGATCATGAGGTCAGGAATTCTAGACCAGCCTGGCCAACATGGTGAAACCCCATCTCTAATAAAAATACAAAAATTAGCTGCCTATAATCCCAGCTACCCGCGAGGCTGAGGCAGGACAATCACTTGAACCCTGGAGGCAGAGGTTGCAGTGAGTTGAGATCACGCCACTGCACTCCAGCCTGGGTGACAGAGTGAGACTCCATCTCAAAAAAAAAAAAAAAAAAAAAAAAAAAAAAAAAAAAAAAAAAAAAAAAAAAAAAAAAAAAAAAAAAAAAAAAAAAAAAAAAATGGATATCAATTGAATTCAGCAATATATTATAATTATAATGTACTACAATTTCAGCCTACTGACAATCATAGAAATAAATATTAAAATGAGAGTTGCAAAGAGTATGCCAAAAGATAATGACATTCAGTATTGGCAAGGATAGGATATGAGAAAATTTCCAGTCATACATAGTTGGTGAGAAGAGAAATTAGCGTAGCTTTTCTCGGGGATTGCTGGACAATAAGTATCAAAATTCAAAATGTTCGTACTTTTTTGTCCAAGCAATTCCACTTGTAGAAACCTGTCCAAAGGAAATATTGGACAAATGGATAAAAGATATGTACAGTAATATTCATTAAAACATTGTTAACAATTGAGAAGGCCAGGTGCAGTGGCTGACACCTGTAATCCCAGAACTTTTGGAGGCTGAGGCAGTCGGATCACCTGAGGTCAGGAGTTCAAGACCAGCCTGACCAATATGGTAAAACTCTGTCTCTACTAAAAATACAAAAATTAGCTAGGCATGGTGGTGGGTGCCTATAATCCCAGCTACTCTGGAGGCTGAGGCAGGAAAATTGCTTAGAGGTGAAAACTGCAGTGAGCCACGATTGTGTCACTGCACTCCAGCCTGAGTGATGGAACGAGACTCCGTCTCAAAAAACAAACACCAGAAAAACCAGAAAAAACATAAAGGTACAATTATAGAGTACCAAGTAAATAAATTAATTTGTGCAATAAAATACTATGCAGCTATAAAATTGTGTACATCTATATTTGCTGAATTTGAAAGATACAACACCATTTACAATAGCTCCAAATATTTTCTTAAAAATAAACACTTGAAGATAAATTTAGCAAAACGTGCAGGATCTGTATGATGAAAACTACAAAATGCTGATTAGGTAGATCAGAGAAGATCTAAATAAATGGAGAGAAACTGTGTTCATTGTTTGGAAGACCCAGTGTAGTTAAAATGTCAGTTCTCTCCAAAGTGATTTATATATTAAGGTAATTCCAATAAAAATACCAGCAGGATTTTTTTTTTTGTAGGTACATATAAGTCAATTCTAAAGTTCATAGGGAAAGAGAAATTGAAATAGCCAAACAATTTTGAAAATGAATAATGCCTGAATAATGCCTGAGGACTCACACTCCTTATTTTGAGAATTACTATGAAGTTATTAATGAAGGGCTAGAGACAGAAATCAATGGAACAGAACAGAGAGTTTGGAAGTAGGCCCACACTGATATGGCTAATTGACTTTTGACAAAGTTGTAAAAGTGAGTCAACGGAGAAAGGAGTCTTTTCAACAAATGGTGATGGAACAGTTGATCATCAGTATGCAAAACAAGAAGCAAAACCTTGAGGTAAACCCCACACCTTACACAGAAATGAACTAAAAATGGACATAGATTTGAATGTAAAATGCAAAACAATAAACTTTTAGAAGAAAGCACAGGAGAAAACCCTTCCAACCTTACGTTAAGGAAAAAGTTATTAGATATAATACCAAAGCATGATCTATAAGAGGAAAAATATGACAAATTAGACTTCATCAAAATGTAAAACTTTGGTTTTATGACAGATGCCTTTAACAAAATGAACAAACAGGCCAGGTCCAGTGGCTCACACCTGTAACCCCAGCATTTTGGGAGGCCAAGGTGGGTGGATCACCTGAGATCAGGAAGGACTTTGAGACCTGGCCAATACAGTGAAACCCCATCTCTAATAAAAATACAAAAATTCACTAGGTGTGGTGGCGCATGCCTGTAATCCCAACTACTTAGGAGGCTGAACCAGGAGAATTACTTGAACCCGGGCAGCAGAGGTTGCAGTGAGCCGAGATCATGCCACTGCACTCCAGCCTAGGTGACAGAGCGAGACTCCATCTCAAAAAAGAAAAACAAAACAAAACAAAATAAAATGAGGCCGGGCGCGGTGGCTCAAGCCTGTAATCCCAGCACTTTGGGAGGCCGAGGCGGGTGGATCACGAGGTCAAGAGATCGAGACCATCCTGGTCAACATGGTGAAACCCCGTCTCTGCTAAAAATACAAAACATTAGCTGGGCATGGTGGCGCGTGCCTGTAATTCCAGCTACTCAGGAGGTTGAGGCAGGAGAATTGCCTGAACTCAGGAGGCGGAGGTTGCAATGAGCCGAGATCGCGCCATTGCACTCCAGCCTGGGTAACAAGAGCGAGACTCCGTCTCAAAAAATAAATAAATAAATAAATAAATAAATAAATAAATAAATAAACAAAGTACAGACTTAGAGAAAATATTTGCAAATCACATCCAACAACATATCTAAGATAAATAAATAACTGTCAAAACTCAACAGTAAGAAAGCAAATATTCCTCCCCAAATGGGCAAAAGATCTAAATAAATACTTTACTACAAAAGATATGTGGATGGCAGATAAACACATGAAAAAATGCTCAATGCTATCAGCAGTTTGGGAAAGGCAGATGAAAACCATGAGATATCACTATATGCCTAATTAGAATGACTAAAA